AACTGCAAGCTTACTTCACTGAAGTATGGTGGAATTTGGATTTACATCTTTTAACAATCTGTATGTATAAATAGTTTTCTTCAGAAAAGGCTATGACAATATCCTCCAGCAACAAATCTGTTTGTTGTAGCAGTGCACTGTTGAATGAATCAAATATATAAGTACTAAACATATTGCCCATGATTTGGATGTACATCGACAAAACTGTGCAATTATGCAATATCGATTAACTTTCCGTGAATAACATTTAAGTTAGACTTTTGACTGCCATTGTGATATAGCTCGCTGAAGAGTTCTGACAATGAGCGACCGGTTTCCCAGGGAGCAATTTGTGGCAAACAAAACAATAAGCATGGAATACACCTTCTCTGATCTCAACTCCACATTGGACTATTAAGATAAGAGGAATGCATACAACAGAAAAATCCTTTATACATTATATACACTGCTGACATGTAATTGATAGCTTTATCAATAAGATATTTATCACACTATGCATATAATTGTTATACACCAGGAAATTTTATTATCAAGATATTTTACAGACTATATATAGCGCTATAAAATAATATATATATTCAATTAAGTACTTTACATGTATGCAAATCGCAACTATATGTAATGGCGAATCTTGCCAATAAAATAGTTTTCATACTTTAAACATCTGTATTGTACTTCATACCAAATAACCTACACACACATATGAACAGGGTTATTTATAACCTATAAAGGTTAATGCTACATAACACACAATAACAGGATTATTTACAACCTGTAAAAGTCACTGTTACACAACACACATGAACAGAATTATTTACAACTTATGAAGGTCACTGTTACACAACACACACGAACAGGATTAGTTACAACTTATGAAGGTCACTGTTACACAACACGCATGAACAAAATTATTTACAAACTGTGAAGGTCACTGTTACACAACACACTTAAACAGGATTATTTACAACCTGTGATGGACACTGCTATATAAATGTTTCAAGAAATGAGCTTTTCTCAATTTTGCTTACAATCTATTATTTTATAAATAGAAACATACTTCGGTTTGTTGCACGAGCCTAAAAATTAATTATTGTGGAAAATTCTAGAAATGCAAATATTTTTTCTCGTTTTGAATTATTTCTTTCTTCTCATGTTGCTTAAATATTAGAAGACAAGAAAAACAAACTTGAGTAAATCTGCCTTTGGTCAAGTCTCAAGGATTTATCATACAGTTGATTTCAGACTCCATATCACAGATAAAATTCAGTTTTTAATAATAAATATTACTTAAAACTACTTAAATAAAGAAGCCCAAAGATATCAAGAACGTACTCTGTCAGAAAGAACCACCAGTAAAATTTATCTATTTATATATGAGCGAAGGAATGTCATAAATTTACCTTATAATATGATACGAGCAAATATTATATTCCCAAGTGCTTTCCAGAAATCTATTCAAATGAATAGATAGAAGTTTAACAAAAAAGTTAACAGTAATTCTAAGAGAAACATCTTCCAACCATAAAAAGGAATTCTTACATCTATAGTCATACTGTACAAACGAAACTGTAGGAAGATTTTATCAAAAGTAGTAATATGTCTTCTTACTGTAATAATCCTTTCATCACCCTAAAGAAACAACAGTAAAATACAATTTAAATGACTTATCTGGTCTAAAACGTAATTTACATCATACTCAAATTAGGAAACTTGTAATAATTTCAATTAGAGTGGATTTATAATGGTCTTCGTTTGAGATATATTAGTTTCATTGTTAAAAAAATGGTCTTCGTTTGAGATATATTAGTTTCATTGTTAAAAAAATGGTCTTCGTTTGAGATATAATAGTTTCATTGTTAAAAAATGGTCTTCGTTTGAGATAAGATTAGTTTCATTGTTTTAAAAAAGAGGAAATATCTTTGATATACCAGATACATTGGAATTGAACATCACTAATAATCAGTAGCAATGCTCAACAAATTTTGATCAACATGGAATGCCCTTATGGAAAAAAGTGGTATCGTAATTTTAAAATTTTTATCGTATAATATAAAAAAATGTTTAATTAATATGTATTTTAAAATTGAAAAAAAATGGCTTTTAAGTATCATCTTAACGTTTCCTGTTCAAAAAGTTTTGACAGTTTGATATGTATAAGAGTATACACGTAAAGATAGTTGACAGTTCAGATATTATTAATTTTAAAATATATGTTTTTGAAATGCCGAAACGCTCACGGTTCTACTGATCCTATCATTATTGATAATGTTTTTATTACCTACTAGATACTTTAATATTGTTTTTTTTTCTAATCCACGGGCCTCGAGGAATTTGTAAAATAGCATAATAAACATTTACTTAAAACGTGTAAGCTAACTCAATAAAATCAAAAATGTGACATAATTGAAAATTACATCTTTACGAATATGAAAACAATGTTGCATGATTCTTCGTTGAGATATCTAACTTTAGCAAAAGGGAACATTCCTCACTAACAAGTAACTGAATGCTTATATATATTTTTAGCATACTATGGTAAATGCCATATTTATCTTTTGACAGTAGGTATGCTTCTTCTATTTTTTTTGTTTTGCTGTCTTTACTAGGCGTTTTATTTGGGACAATATTATTAAGCATTGATCTTCAATCTAGAAAGGGGTCCTTACATGCCCTGGTGGTGAAATCGCTTTACTCGCAACCTGCGTTTCATGGGCTCAAAACCTGTCTGTGGTGGGCATTATAATGTGACAGTGAGTACCAGAATTCGTTGTTCAATAGTATTGACGAAAATGAATCTAATTCGGCTTAAATGAATATATAAATCTTAGCTATAGTATCTCATTACTACACAATTGTAGATGCTAACTTATTATTTAGCACAATATGCTACTTATAATTATATATATATGTAAATATACAAGCTAATATTTCTAATTTTTTGACATTAATTTGCTTCTAACTCCCACGAAAACTGCAACCTAAGAGAAAAGATGAAGATTACAGATAAACTGTTATATGATAAAAACTAGCCTCACAACAGAGATCTTTCACCTTGCAGCCAAGTTTGTTATAGAGGAATATATATATGCCCAAGATAATTATGTCTTGATCATTTGCACTCTGAAGTGGTGAGTAAACAAGGTTAACAATGAGAATTACAATCTTGCGTATTAAGAATTGCACGTAGGTAAAGATGAACTATTCAAGCTAAACAAATATAAAATTTCTCAACGGCAGTTTTAACTCTTGTTAGAAGAACTTGCTGCTCGAAGAATCCCGTTGAGTACATCTGAAATACTGAAAAGAAAATTCCATAATATCGATCTCTGAGAATTAACAGTAGAATCACATTTAAATTCTTGAATATAAAGCATGTTGAGAATTTCAGAGCCGCTAAAAAAAGCGAGACAAGTATGTTTTTTTTTCTCCAGAAGAATGATATGGACGCATATTTTTTTTCATTTAATTTCCCTAATAAGTTTTTTTTCTACTCAGAAACATTAAACATACATCTCTCGCCGACAACGTAACAAAACACATCTGAATGTTTCATGAGTGCTATTGAAGAAAGATTTATTCCAATCATAATACGTGCAACGTTGTCTTCTGCAAGCCAGACATCAGTGGACACATCTAAAAATGATTTATAACAGTTTTCTTATAAAAATGTTTTTATACATATAAGAGGAAAATATGAACGTTTTAGATATCAATCATCGCCGCTTGATATATTCTGCAGAGAACGTATATTTTATGTACAAGAGATCTCGCTGTATTCTCACAGCGTGTAGTTTACGTCTGGTGCTTTGAGATGAGCTTCTCTTTTTCCCACTACCAGGCGATACCTTCCACTCGGCCAATGGGGATCTAGCACACCTTATAGTTGTCCAGTCTCCCGTATCAAATTACTTCATTAAATAGGTCTATTCTGCCATTACACCGACAATTCATCTTCATGCACCACAGCATTCTTACTAACAGGCGAACCCTCTTTCGTTCTCCCTGTACGTAAGTGGCTCATCTCGTTTAGGATGGCGGCGCGTGCACTTTTCGTGTCGTTTCTATACTTCCTGACAGAAGCGCTTGATTTTTTTATGACTAATGGTAAAAACTACCATAAAAATATCTGTATACTCAATAATTCATTACTATATTGTCTAAACACACATTTAAATGTACCCATTAAACCAAAACGATACAAAAAAATATTGATTGTTTTCAAAGTATCAAAATAATTCAATATAAATTATAAATCAATAGTTCTGTCAATTAATAAATCAAACTTTCTCCTATATAATCCTTCTATTTACTAATATGAATTTTGAGTTAATTTTATTTCAAGAAAGTTAACTATGAGAGCTGTTACAGAAACTGAAAAGCGTATAACGTATAACAAATGTAACGCCTTATACAGGTTTTCTACAGTTGGAGTGTATAGATACTGTTTACAACACAAGACAAGTGTTGTAAAATATCTGGTTGTCAAACGATGTTACCTGCAACATTTGGTCCTCGAGAGGCCCGATATGTTTCCATACATGAGCCACTAGTTTGTCATATCCTGTGTTTTAAGTCTCTAACTAATATCCAAACCCTTGAAAGAACACAATTACCTTAAAAGTAGATTGAACCACAGTATACACTGAGTGGTCACAAGTAAATAGACACCTAATTTTTCGTCATTTAACTGATTTATGCTAACTAATTTGTGTTCACAGAGCACTATATAAATGAAAATGGTCC